GGGGGCGGGGCGGGCGGGGGTGAGTCCGGCGGGCGAGGGAGGGACTTGTTGCGTGCTGCGTGCTGCGTGCTGCCGGCCGGCCCGGTGCGCGTGCGGCGCGGCGCCGTGGACTCTGACTGGTCGCGCTGCTGTGGCTCGGGTGCGGAAAGTTTTCCTCGCGCTTGGGAAGCTTTGCGTAGGTGACAGCAAGGGCTCCCCGAGCCTGCTCTAGGGTCCCATGGTTATCTTGCAAAACTGATGCCTCAAGGTCGACTGCAGGCAGTGAGCATATTCTGACAAGAATGCAGGAATGTTCTTGGCCAGAAGCACAGAAAGGCATATTTCTGAGTGTTTATTAATCTTTCTTGTACAGTTATCTGTTCAAGCAAAGCCTACATAACTGGGAATGTGGTTTTCTTAACTGCATGTTGAAAGCGCTATGCTGTTAAATGAAAGCCCCCCTCCAAAAAAAAATCTGGCCCAGTTTCTTGGAAAAGATCCCACCTCCCTTTGTTTTTATACAAAATCGATTTTTATATGCTAGTTTTAATATGGTCAGAAGCCAGTTTGGCCGTACAACTTAGTATGCGGGTCTTTTTACATTTTATTTTATTGAGGTGTAATGATGAACATTGTTTACCTCATGCAACATTGACGTTTCCGGGTCGCAGGCTGCTGAGAACATGACAGGAGTGCTTGGCCCTGTGACAGATAACAGCCCCCCTTGCACACCGATTTGGCCTCTGCGAGCCGGCACCCCTTTAACGCCATCACTAACTCCTGCTCCCTGAAATCACAGATGCTCTTTGCTTAGACTTTATTTTTCCTTTTTAAGTTTACCTTGAACTAGCCGCAGAGGTAAGAAAAAGGAAGAAGATCCTTGCTGAAATGTAACCAGAGTCTGTACTGGAATTTGAAACAAGTTGGTTACCATTACTGGAATCCCAGGACTGTAAAGTCCTTGTCCTTTTTCTTTTTTTTCTACTTTGTTTTGTAAAATGTGATAAAAGTTGGTAAATATAGACCAGTAGTAAGTGTCAGGACATGGAAACCATTATGTATATGGAACTATTTTAAGTTATTACAGAATGTTTTCTATTTATAAATGATATAAGCAGAAAGAAATGGTTTCCAGATAAACAAGGCTTAGGTACGTGTTTTGAAGCATTAGAACATTGCAGACACGCTTCGACATCACATTTTTTAAAAGCAAAACAACAGAATTAATTTTTCACATACCTTTGGAGCGTCTCATAGTCCGTTCAGAGCTAAGTGAGTAACTAGAAATCTTGCATGGTTTAAAGTGATACTTAAGGGCACTCAGGAGGGCAGTACATCAACATTTATACATCCAGAAAGGAAAGCTTTTAGGAATTCTCCTCTAGGATGTCCCTTCTGTTTAACTTGTCCTTGCAAAGAAAAGGAATGGAGAGACGTAGTTATTTGCTTAGAACACAATCATCAGCTCAGAACACTGGCTCAGTTGCTTAAATCTCACAGTGGACCCAGGGGACAGGAAGGTGGTGGGATCTTGCTGCTTCATTCTGACTCACCGGGAGGGAAGGGAAGCATGAAAATGTAAATGCAGATTTCTAAAACCTTCGCTCTAAGTCCTTGGTTTCCTGTTTAGAAGGGGGCACCATTAGAATGTAAGCTATTCCCCTCTTCCTGGAATCTTGTAAGAGTCCCGGCTTTTTAATAGTCAGAATGTGGATGATTGATAATCTCATTTCTTTCAAATATAAATAGCTCTGGCTTGCAGCTTAGAGCACAGAGCATGAGCACGCCCACCTGATAGTATAGTGGAGAGCTTGTTTACATTTTTTACATTCATCTTTTAAAATCTGTAAACCAGCGAGTCTGTGCCTTTCTCTCTCTCTGTCTTTCTCCCTCTCTCTCCCCCTTCTTTCTCTCATCTTGTCAATGTAGTGAATTTGTGAAATGGAACACAGATCAGATTTGAGTCTGCACATAGACTTCATTTTCAACTAAATATCCAGAATATTGAAAATGTACACAATGGAAAATTCATATACAGAGAACTCATTAACATTTTAAGAGTTAGGAAGTTAGACCCAGAGCAGAGAGAACAATTACAGACTTCCTGAATGAAAACAGAAAGCCTAGAGGACTCAGCCTTGGGTGTCTTTCAGGAAAACACATGCTGTCTGAGGGCCCCAGAATGCTGATTTTACCTAACTGGCCAAAACCCCATTTTCCCCTTGCCTCTCCCGTGGAGGGTTCCGGTTTGTGCAGGGGGCCCTGCTAGCCCAGTGCAAGTGACTCTCTCTGTAATAGGGTAATTGTTCCCTTGTCTCGACTTGTTTTCAAACAATTGCTCTGAAGCACTCCGTTTCCACTGATTGCAAAACTGCTCCTCTAATTGAAGGACTCTCGGCCTGCTCTGCAGCCATTCAGCTCCTGAGGGGCCCTGTGCTCTCAAGCTGTGAACTGCATGTTAAAGAAGACTCCAGGAGAGAGTTCTGCAGAATTACAGATTTAAAATGCTGGCCGATGTTCAGTGGAGGAAGAAATCATTTGAGGAAGACTCACATCACTTTACATTGTGATACATTATCTTGATTCCGATGAATAAGGTGCACAGATGGGCTTCCAAAGTGAACGGGCAGCATTACGGGTTGCACCCTGCCTCTGTCTCCTAGGCTGAATAGGGATGAGCCTGAAGCAGTAATCGGTGTGGACGAATGAGGTGCCTATGTCATTTGCATGTGGAATTGAACCCTGGGAAACAATAGGAAGGATTTGGTGTTTTTAAGCTTAAGCATACGCGTCCTGAAAGACCCCTTTCAAACTGCTACTTAGAATTGCTTCATACTAAATCAGGCCATATAGAAACGCATCACTGTATTCACACAATACTTACACTCCAGACTTAGAAAAGTCATGGACCCAGTTACTGATCTATAGAGTCATGATTGATGACAACTGCGAAAGACTAGCGTTTACTAATACATTGGCATCGGAAGACCGTTGAGGAGGAGGAAGGGGTCAAAGGTATAATGGACAGCAGCAGCATTTGCTCGGACAGGAAGTGTGTAAGTACTCGAGTTCAAGGGCAGACAGTGAGATACTGTGCTCTTGTTGAGGCCAATTCAGGCTGGCTGAATTTCTGAATGCCCTGAGTTCTCGCTTGAACTTCAAGGATGGGTTGCAGGTATAGAGGGGACAGTGATTGGGGAGAGCAGCGTAGATTTACCAGCTTCGGTGACAGCCGTCATAAAGTAAAAATTTATCC